TAAGTGTATCACTTTGGGCTCTTCACATAGAAAATGAGTGATTCCGGTGGAAGATGGGGGTAGGGCAAAAACTTGTCTCCTGTGAACCCCTCTTCCATGTGTTCAAAATCTCTCCACCTGGCTAAAAAGGCCTTCTTGTGCAGTTCAACTAGAGTCCCACACCCAACTAAGACAGGAAGCAATCCCTGTGGGTGCAATTTCTGTGCAGACATCAAACACACGCCCAAATGCGTGGCTGGAGACCCACACCAGCAGGTCTGTGAACATTTAAGCCCATGGTTCTTTACACTGGGCTCCAAATTCACACGTGGGCCAACAAAATGGCTCAGCAGGTAAGGGTACCTGCCTGCAAGTCTGAAGACCTGAGTTCAATTCCCAGGACTCACAAAAAGGTAGAAAGAAAGAGCTGACTTTCATCTCTTGTGTTCTGGCCTGGACAAGCAAACCATAGCACATGTATTACACTACCCCACAAACACACAGAGAAATATGACCCTGCGGGGGTATGTCCACATGTCACACAAGACAAAGCAGTCTTCAAGAAGCCAGAAATGCAACTCAGTGGCAGGATGTGTGCTTGGCACACCAGCATACACATAAACAAATAAACAATAAAGTGCTATGAACCTAAAGACAGAGATGGGAAGGAAGGGGCAGTAGATGTCCACAGATTGCACATGGTGCATATGTCATAACATTAACATGACAGAACTCGGAACATGCCAAGGATCCAAGGACCCACTTTTGAAAGATTGTTTTATACACACACACACACACACAGAGAGAGAGAGAGAGAGAGAGAGAGAGAGAGAGAGAGAGAGAGAGAGACGCTTCCTCTATGAACCTAGGCTTGCCTGAGTGGGAGGCAGATATATCTGTGCCCCTGTGTCCAGTCTGGGAGTCTTTAAGCAAATAGTGGTCACAGTTAACCAAGGGTTTGGGTTTGCAGCATCACGAGGAAGCCTATCTCTGGAAGTGTGATTCAGGGTAGACTTTGCTAAGTCACAGCAGTTGACCTCACCATTTGCCGTTGCTGGGGTCAGCTCTGTTCTTTCCCCTTTAAAAAGTAATTGTATTGGGGAGGGGGCTGGGGTTTCTTCTGGTGCAGAGGAAGGAAGCTCTCCCTAGATCTGGAAGGAATCATCCATCACGGTGAGGCCACTTACAGTCTGGATTCAGAGACTACAGGCCATGAGTTGTAACAGGATTGGTTGAGGCATTCTCTACCACCCAGCCAGCACCAGAGCACCAGAATGACCTCCACTGGACAACCTGGAACTAAACCTGCCTATGACCCTTCCTTGGCCCGCCTTGCCAGCCTGAAAACCTACAGTTAACTTCACCCAGAATGAGGAGGGGCAGGGTCTATGAGAGAGGGGGTCGACCCTCACTGAGCTCACATGGAGTGCCCCTTCCCCCATTAGCCTCTGCTAAGCCACCTGCCCCACTGCCACGTGAGGGGCCTCTAAAAACCAGGACACTAGTCTCAAGAGAAAGGGCAATCCCCTCCAACGGTAGCATTAGCCAGGCATCCTAGCACCTTTTTTTCCCACAAGCTTGCACCAATTTTAAGTGCGAGACAAGTTTGGTTCTAACTAGAAAAGGGTGGGTGAGAGACGCCCTCCCCCACCATGAATATAAGGCAAGCAGCTCCACCTCGACCTCTGCCCAGCCCCTGGAGGAAAGAATAGAAGCTGAGGCCTGAGCAGGACTGTGGACCCACCCTCAGCCTTAAAGGACTACATTCCGACGATGAAGCCCCAGCGCATGCGTCCATGTAAACCAGCAGGCGCGCCCCCCGATGCAGGCGCCCGGAGAGTGGGGCTTACCTTGTGATTCTGGTACGAAGTCACGGCGATAAACGCGGTCTCCGGAAAGACGTGGGTGCAGAACGCAGTATTCTTTGAACCAAATCCATTATTTTCGTCTGCTTTCACGATGTGTAATCGGGGCTGGTATTTGTGCATGGAGTTCAGGATAATCTAAAAAATAACAGAGAAAATGAGATTGTCCGAAGGGGGGAAAATCAAAACTCCCTTTGTTTCCAGCTAGATCCTTGCTCCTCCCCCATCTGCACTGCCAATTAGCTTTATTATATAGGCTCTCAGGAAGGGGAAAAAAAAAGCCTTTTTTTTTCTTCTGTTTTGAAAAGGGGCCAGTGATTTCATTTAAAAGAAACATTTCAAAAATGACAATTTCCATATAAGAAAGTCAAGGTAATATTCCAGGAACCCACCCAAAGCACACACGGCAGTAAATCAGAATTCTTAATAAAGTTTGCTTAATAAATTAACTCTGTGTATAAGGGCACTTCCCGCCCCAACAGGAGCTTGGCAAGTCTGGAGGCGGGACCCAGAGGGGGTTGGGAAAGCCGGACAGCAGTGTGGCTGCCAGGGACAGGAAGAACATGTGTGCATACACACATACATACACACACACACACACACACACACACACACACACACCTCCTCAAACTCCTGAGGAAGGCCAAGGGCTGATGAAACTCCAGGCAGAAAGACCTCAAACCTAGGCCCTTTGTTTTGAAAATGAAAAGGAGTCAGAGAGAGAGAGAGAGAGAGAGAGAGAGAGAGAGAGAGAGAGAGAGAGAGAGAGACTGAGGCAGTGAGGCAGGCTGGTTAACCTGGAGGCTTTCTTTCTCTAACATTTGGGGCTCTAAGATCTACAGGAGGGGTATTGTGTTCTCCCTTCCAGGGGTACTCTGGGTGGGGCTTACTTCTGCTGCAGTGGCTGTTGCCACAATCACATTACTATTATTAGGAGATGGAGGAGGATCCCTGGTTGCATATTGTGGCTGGAGTCAGGACTCCTGCATAAGCATCCATAGTAATAAAACTCAGTTTGCCGCCCAGATGATGCCCATATTTTGATGCTGGGGGTGGGATGGGGTGGCTGTTTAATAGTCACCAAAACTTTTCTAATGCTGAACCTGGCCTGCTTTCCCCACAGGATCCCAAGCCCCAGCAGCAGTGTGATTCCACTTGGTGTCTCTGATTATTTGCATTGCTGACCCTGGCTAGCAGAATCCCTGGCCCAACCCTTGAACGAAGCCCTTGGAAGGTTCAGAGATGTAACCCCTTGGTTCCTGCCTGGGTGCATCTATCTCTAATAACACACACACACACACACACACACAAACACAAACACACACACACACACACCTCCCAAGCTTATATTGATGATGGCTGACCTGGGCTGGTGTGGCGACAGAGAGACAGACACACTGGGGCCCCTGGATTGACTGCCACATGCCACAGCCCCTGGGCCAGCACAGCCATCGTCCCGGCTTAACCAAATTGCTTTGACAGCTAGGGACAGTGTGGAGACTTCAGAAAGAGGGTGATCTAATGGCCTCTAATTCCATCAGGGTGACTCTAGATTAAAAGTTGGAGTAGAGTACTTTTCTCGTTTTCCTTGGATTGTTGAAAGGAAACAAAACAAAAATGCCAAGTGCCCTTTATTTGTTGATAGGGCCAAAGACCTTTCCTGAATATCTACCCCAGAGTGACCCCAAAAAGCACTGTCAGAATAACAGGGGGTACAGAATAACATGAGGGTACAGCCAGAGGAAGGAGACAGGCAGGGCATCGAGGGACCCTGAATCTATTGTACCTGGTTTGTAACCACAGGAAACCCCAAACCTTCTAACCTTGCACCATGAGAGCCCCAGGACATTTATGTACTGGAGTTACAATCCAGCCTTCTCCCCATATGCAGAACCCCTCAGTGGTCCATTCTGTGACCCTCCCCAGGACCCAATTGGCCTCTGTCGCTGCCACCCAGAAAGAACAGATTCAACATTTGAACTTACTTCCAAGTCTGTCCTACCCAGTACCTCATTTCCCTAAACTAGAGACCCAGTTCCTCCCTGGTGAGTCCCTATCCCCAAACAAACTATATCGAAGGGCATATCCTCTCCCCCTCCCCCTACTTCCTCTTGCAAAAGCAACCTCGAGTACCAGCTTCCCAAAGATGAGCACATTAGAACCATGTAGCAAAGAGCTCTGAATGCAGAATTCAAAGTTAGAGCAATTGAGAGATCTGGTGCTATTTCTCCCCCAAAAGCTAGTGCTTTGTTGTGTTCTGGGTAAAGAAGGGTGAGGCTGGGCTGGGAATCCACTGAAAACAATGAATCATCAGAGAGAGGCACTATCACTGTACACACTCACTATCCACACTCACTGTACACACTATCCACACTCACTATTCACACTCACTGTACACACTCACTATCCACATTAATGATCCACACTCACTGCACACACTCACTATACATACTCACTATATCCCATATTGTCTGGGGACTCACCAGGCTCTCTCCTAGAGCTAAACTGACTCCAGATTTAGGATTCTGGTCTAGTTTTGCCCCTCTAAGCATGGAAAGGAGACTGGATAGTAAGACAAAAGAAAATCTATCTACCCAAGAACAACAAACTTAAAGGACGTGCTGGTGTCAGGCTTCACTTGCCACCCATAAAAGATGGGGCAGGAGACCAGAACTCTCCTTCAATTATAATTCAGGGCTTGGAAACAGGGTACCCTGAAGCCCATCTCCAACCACTCAGGGAAAGGGGAAGACAGACCCTGGGATAAACCACAAGGAAGATAGAGGAGTGTCCCCTCAGCTGGGGAGTGATGGAGCCAGAGAAATAGAAGGAAAAGAGGCCAGGGGTGTGACTGAATTGAGAATGTGACAAAGAGGAGAACCTAGAACCAGAGGTTGAAAGGTGGGACAGGAATTTCCAGATCAGAAAGATAGAGGGTGGGATTGGTTTGTCAGCTCTTGCTGATAATTTCAGCCTTTGGGAGGGTCCCGACTAGTTGGGGGAACAGCTTGGGGCTATGTAAATGGAATCCTGGAGAGAGAACTAGGGAAGTATGGAGGCAGACCAAAAACAAAACAAAACAAACAAACAGAAACAGATGTTTAGAAGCCAAAAGATAGAGTCCCAGAGAGAAGGAAAGGGGGTGGGGAGCGAGGGTGATCGGGTCCCACACATTGATGGGGTAAGGCTACTTACATGCCCAAATGGGTCCAGGTGGTTGTTGGTGAGCTTCAGTTTCTGGAAGGAGACAAGTTGTCGCATCCAGTGTGCACCAGTTGCAGGGGAGTCTGGGTGCACATAAAGGCGACCGGGCATGGCAGGTTCAGCTTTGCCGGTGACAGACCTGGGTGAAGGACACCAGGAGCTGTGGGGCTTTCCATGGCCCAGAGGTAGCCAGCCTGAAGAGGTCTGCTCTAAGGGGACTGTTGTGGGCCCGTCCCCGACCCTGCACTCCACATTGTATCCAACCAACGACCCCCCCTCCCCCCTCCCACACACACTTTCAATCCCTTCCCCAGCTCAGAGCCAGGAGTATATGGGGCCTCGAAGCCCCTGCTGCCCACAAATTTTTGATGAGAAGTGAAAAGCTGCTTTCAAAGGAGCCATCCTCTCCTGGCCTCCTAGCAGTGAGCAATGCCGTGGAGCCCAGATTTGGCTTTACCGCTGCACCTTCCTGCTTCACCAGTAAAGCCTCAGGCCAGTTTTGCAGTTTCATTAAAAAAAAAAAAAAAAGTCACGTTCAAAGCAGGTAACTCATAAAAAATAACTGTAAATGGTTTTGTGCCCCCCAGAAATATATTCAGTATTTGGTAACAATGCTCTTTTTACAAAAATAAAATAAAATAAAGTGTGCAGCCCATGTGGTTGTTGAGTACACGGGCAGCCTCGCTTTCCCCAGCAGCCTCAGTGTTCAGGCCTGTGAAATGGGAGCTGGTTGCTGCAGCCCCCTTTTATGCAATAGGATAGGCACACAAGTCTTGAGCCTTAGTAGAAGATAATAATAATAGTAATAGTGATAACAATGTAATAGTAATAACAATAGTAATAGTAATAACAGTTCCCAGGGAGTGGGATAGACTTTGCACTTCCCTCCCAGCTCTCCTGCCCTCTGGAACGCCTACCATTTATTATCTGCAAATTTGTATCTATGGTCGTCCGCGGGAACAATATCCATGAGAAGAATGTACTTCGTTTTGGGATTAAGGCCAGTCACCTTCACTTTGTAACTAGGAAACATCCGCCTGGGAAAGAGAGGGAGATGGAGAGGGGAACACACACAGAGAAAGAAGAGGGTGGTTAATTCCAACACTCAGAAGAGCCACTCCTGATCTTTTAGCAATTCCTGGAGAAATGAAGAGCCCTGGCCCCACTCCATCCCCGGTGAGATCCACCCCGGGTTTCCCCTGAAGTTACTGGGAGGAGAATAGAACTCAGAGAAGGGAGGCAGCTGCGCGGTCGGTCGTAGGCTCCAAGGAAGAAAATAGGACTTGGGGGAGCTGCTTATAGATTTCTATGTTTAGAGACTCACTTTCTGGGGGACCTGGTACGAGGGCGAGGAGGATGCTCTTTCAGTACAAAGCTAGCGGCCATCTCACTCTGGGCACCTCCTGGGAACACATCACCTTAGATACTAACTTTAGTCCTCTGCCCTTAGAGATGCAGGTTAACTGTGGCTGCCAAAGCGATTCTCAAGTTCGCTGGGTTAGCGACCAGTCCCGCATCGCCAGAGTGCGGGATTTTCAGAAATGACCTGTAACGTAACTTCTCCTCCCGGAGCTTGGCAGGTTTCCCTGGGGAGCTTAAACTCCCAGGCACTCAGGAAAGAAATTCCAAAGCCTTCCAGATTCGGTTTTAGAGAGAGCCGAAGCCTGCACTAGAAAGCTGATGGCAAACAACTGGTGCGGAACGCGGATTCCTAGGGCTCCCCCCATGCCTCGGCCCCACGAGAAATTTTTCCTTAAGGTCTGGTGAGGACAGCGCCTCAGAAAGCAGGGGATCCGAGGATTTGTGCATCAGCAAAAGACGTTGGACCTGGGTTGGTGCAGCGTGAGAAGAGAGGCGAGGAGGCCGAACCTTCTCGTGTTTATCTGCCTCAGGAAGAGCGCCTGACCCGCAGGCAGAGGCGCAAGAAATTGACTTTGCAAACCTTTTATAGTTAAATCCTCCCGGCTCCAGCGAGGGGGGGAAAGGCAGCAGCCGGCTGGGACTTTCCTTGCTGGGCAGGATGGGAAAGGGGACCTCAGATGTCAGATATAAACAGACCCACCGCCTTCTAGTTCACTAGGGCCTTGGGCTGAGCGGGGGAGCCGACATTGTTTAATTTCAAGAAATAATAAACGTCACCGTTGTCAGTTTATTGAGGGCGGCTTGGGCTGGAGAACCCGCAGAATCTGGAAAAATCAACTCCACCCTTTGCCTTTACACACCCGGCAGCTCCGGCCCACTGGCCTGGCCTCTGTCTGTTCACACGCTGGCTCTAGCCAGACTCCCGACCTCTTAGGTGCTCTCAGATGCTGGGGATCTCTACAGGGTCGCCGTTCGTTCGGGAAGCAAAGAGTTGGTTCCCCAGGCCGGGAAACACAAAGGCAGGCTTCCACCTCTCTGTCACCCTTCCCCCAGGCCTAGCCTTTCTAGCTGAAACTCCTGCCCCTTGTGAGCGATTTCGAGCCCTGCGCAATGGCTGATCGGCTGTGTTTATCCCTGTCTGTGTACAGGGCCCCGAAGAGCCCTCTGCTCGCTTTCAAAGGCTTCACCCGCTCTCTATAAACAACGAAAGAGGTAGTGAATACATTCAACAGTTTCAGGATTTGGCTATCCTGGGGTGGGACCCTGGAATTATCCTAGGTCAGAGAAGGTGGGAATAGGATAGGGACAAGGCATCAAGTCTAAATCTAACAACTCAAAGTCCTTCTTCAAGCTCTTCGTTCTCTACACCTTTCTCCCCCCCCCCCCCCCCGTCTTTCTCTCTTTCTCTCCCCCCCCCACCTGTTCAGATAGCTCCTGCTCCTGTGTGCTTTCATCTTCCTATAAGACAGGGAAGGAGTATCTAACCCACCTAGAGGTAAGCCTTAGTGTTAGGTCCCCATCCTGCTGAAGACTCTTTAGCCAGAACGGACTCTGATTAACTATTATCTCTGTTCTATTTTCTTCTCCCTGCCTAGCCTCCCTGTTTTCTCCCCTCCAATGACTGCCCTCCTGTGTCAGGAGCAAGCTCACCTCCCTGCTTTTGTGATGATCATCTCTGTGCCCACTTCATGGAACTTCAGCCACAATTCTCTTTCATGAAGAAACACCTTGATTCCTTCCATGCCCTGAGAGACAGAGAGAAAAAAAAATGGTGATACATCTTACCCCCCCCCAAGCCTGTGAATTCAAAGAAAGGGGGTTCTGACTTCTGCTGAGTGATAGAAACTCCAGAGCAACCCAAGGCATCTGCCTGCCTAGAATTCACTAAGCAGATTTGAGATTGCTACCAGCATCCTCTCTGCTCAAGGTACCTGCTGTCTCCTCCATCAGCTAGAGGCCAGGGAATCATCTCCCACCACTGGTCTCCTCCATAGAGGACCAGGACAGCTAATTTTGATCCATTTCTTAGCTGAGATTTGGTTTTGGGGGGAATCAGTCTAGAAAAACCCACAAGGATATTCATGTATAGTCATCCAAATGCAAAACACGCATCTATGCAAATACATTACTGTTGATCATCCCTGGGTGTGAATATAAACATACAAGGATGTTTCAGTCTTTTTATTATTATTATTATTACTTGAGACAAGGTCTCACTCTGCAGCCCAGGTAGGCCTGAAATTAACTACACAGCATATGTACTGGTATCAAACTCATGGCAATCCTCCTGCCTCACCCTCCCAAGAACTGAGATTCCAGAACATGTGGGCCACTATATGGGAATTTTCAATTTTAAAATGTTCCTTTTTCCCCCAAAGACCAAAACACAAAGATTAATTTTCAGTGTCTATATTAGCAATCCTCCCAGGCAGGCCCTCACCATACTGCTGCCCAGCCTTGACTTGGAGCAGCCCCAGAGACTTTAACATTTTCCCTTTCACTGGAACTTATTTTCAGAAACTGATACCAAAGCAGTCAGACACAAACCTTCATTTTGAAATATTTATTAATCTACTGAAAAGTGGACTTTTTTCCTTTTAAAAAAATGTGCAAATTTCCCCCAACTATCCTTAATCCTCTCTGATTTTTATTAACACACACACACACACACACACACACACATACACACACACAATCTCTTAGAACCATGAAGCGAAAGAGAGAGCCTGGGGGCGGGGATCGAACTTCCCAGGAAGGATTTCTGCATCAAACCCATCTCTCTGGTCAAGCCTCCTTGCTCAGTGCCTGGTGACACCTAGCTTTTAAATCCACCTGGAGCACCCAAAGCGCTTGCCGTTTCAGGGCGCGGAGCACAGGTTGAGATTCCCCTCCCTCTACTCCGTACCAGCTTCCAGGCAGGCGGAGCTCAGGGCTCCGGTGCCCTGGTCCCAGCCCCTGTGTGCTCTCTCCTCGGCGGGTCAGGGCGCTCCTCCAGGCCCCAGAGCAAGATAAATGGTGCAGCATGAGGGGCACGGCGGGCTGCGCAGAGCCGGCAGGCGGAGGCGAAGGCTAAGAAAGATCTAAGGGGGGTCAAGCCATCGCTCATGCCGGCCTGAAGCGGCCGCTGACCCGACCCTTAATAAGGTATACCCAGGGCAGCTGGGAGAGAATTATCTGAGCCATTGTTTGCTGACCCCAAATAGTCGGATAATTGAGAGCTCTCCAATAATGTAAATAGGTTTCTAAAATACGCAGGCCATAAAGATAAACGCCTCGATAAAGTGGTTGGAATAGAGTAGAATTGAGGGGGATTGAATGAGACTAGCCAGGAAAGGAGGAGGAGTAACCTCTAGCTGGGAGCCAGCCTGGCTCAGGCCTCGTTGTGAGCTTCTGGGTAGGCTTTTCTTACCTGCTGGGTGAAGGCGGCTTGCGGGGATGATGGAGACTTGCTGGGAGCCCCCAGAGCATTCTCGGGTTTTGAATCACAGGACCTGTCTTTGGAGTCAGGCTCCAGAGGCGTGTGCGCAAGGCCGAAGCCCTCGTCTGCATCCGCCATGGTGTGGCCAGGGACCAGTGCCGGCCTGAGGTTCTATTCTGAGGACAAGAGACAGAGTTGGAGAGTGTCTAGCGACATGGGGGCAGCCGTTTGACCCTCCACTCCCAGCTGAAAGAGGCTGCGGAAAGTCTTTTTATTATTTCACTTTCCGACCCAGAACCACCACTTGCGAAATGCCCGTTTCAGACAGGGAGGAGGCGGCAAGGCCTCCCGCATCTCCCCTGCTCAGGCTCTGAGCGATAAGAGAGCTGTCCGTCAAATTTGTCTGAACTCCTGGAAGAGCCAATAAAGATAAGGCGTCGGTATTTTTGGAAGCCATCGGGTAGGAACCCAAAACAAAACAGAAAACAAAATCCCAGAGCCCCTTTGAGAAATGGTCTTTGTCAAATTCAGGAGGTCATACCAGGTTTTTTTTTTTTTTTTTTTAACCCGTAAGAGACATTATTTTCCCACAATAGGCAAAAGGCCCAGAATGACCCGCGTCTTGCAAAAATAAGAAACGGCAGGGGAGGAAGGACTTGAAGAGATACACCGGGATGAAGGAGAATAGTGGACCTCTCGCTGTCTCATTCAGGCCTTAAGATGCAACCACCTTTAAAAAAATAAAGTCTTCCCCTCTCCAGACCTTAAGCAAGACCAGTTGTGTTTCGTTTTGTTTTTAAATTAAAACAAAAGACGAGGAAGAACCGGAGGTAGATCGGAGAGGGGCCAGCAGCTCTGCTGCTGGCTCTCCAGTGCGAGCCGGTGGGCTGTACCCTTCCTCCCTCTTTCAGATCCTCTGGCTGGGGCTAACTGGGCGGGCAAGGCGTTTCTTCGTGGAGTAGCCGGGCTAAACGGAACTCAAAAGGCTTCGCTCAGAGCTGGCTCACTCAAACTGCAGGCCTGGCTCCTGGTTGGATAGTCTAAAATCGGTCCCAGACAAATCCGGGGCTGCAAGCATTGAATGGGCTACCAGGGACCAACGCAGTTATTAGGGCAGCCCCGGGGTTCAACCGAGGAAGATGAAGCAGTTGAAGTTCTTCAATCAGCCTCCTTCCTACAGGAAAGATTTCTGCCACGGCCTCCACCTCAAAACACCATAATAGTTCACGAAAGTGATCCCCCCCCCCGCGCTACACACACACACACACACACACACACACACACACACACACACACACACACACACAATTTTAACGGCTTCTTAGGCAAGAAGACTGGATCCCAACCTTGGTTGTAGCGGTCTGAGACATTAATGGGGGCGCGGCCAGCTTCTGAGGCCCAGTGCTCTGAGTTGGAGTTGGGGGAGACTGCCATGGGAGCCCCACAGTCTTCTCATAACAAAGGAAAACAAAACTGGCGCCCTACACGCTCTCCCATTCACGGCCAGCCATGGGGTGAAACCCACCCTAGCCCTTGCCAGGATCCCGGGAAGCTGGGGGGGATGGCGGAGGCGAGCAAGATGTGGTTTGACAGAACCAGGCCGTGTGCCTTGCAAGCCTCAGTGCTGCTCCCACAGTCTCGGCAGCCTCCCGGCCCCCTCTCGCCTTGAAAGGTCCAGGCCCGAATAAAATCTCTGCAAGCCAGACTCTACGGAATGCAAGACCGGGCTGGAGTCCGCCATTCTCCGCTTCCCCAGCCGCCTGCTCCCGCCCGGCCATCTGTTTGCACCGTTACCTCGGTCTTTGCAGCGGGATGCATTCACCACCACCCCTCTTCCTCTTAGCAGGAAAGCCGGAGGCCAGGTGGGGGTGTGGGCATGGTGACTCTGGAGTTTGTGCTGGGGACTGCTTGCTTGCCCAAGCTAGCTGCTACTGTTGCTACGAAGAAGTACCCAGCACGGGAGCCTCCCAGCGACTGCCCACCTCTAGCGCACACCTCCTCCACAGCTCGCTGGCTGTTCGCTAGCCTAAATGCTTTTAAGTTGTCAGGCTCCAGAAGGGTTCAGAAGAACACAAAACTAAACAGCAGGTCCGGGGGCAACTCCAAACCATACCATACGATCTCAGGGCCCTGCTCTGCCCTTGCACCCCCGGAGAAGAAAAATTGGCGAGTTGGGGACCTGGGAGAGCCTTGGGAATTGGCCAGCTGCCTTCAGAGAGACGCTTTCAGGGGTTAGAATTCCAGAATTTGAGGTATGAGCCTCTCTCTCTCTCTCTCTCTCTCTCTCTCTCTCTCTCTCTCTCTCTCACTCTCTCCCTCCCTCCCTCCTTCCCCCCTCCCTCCCTCTCTCCCTTTCTCCCCCCCAATCTAACTCAGCTGGGATGCTTACAAAGTATAGCCATTGCTTCCCCAACTCTGTGTGTCTGCCTGTCTCTCTCTCCTTTCTCTCCCCCACTCCTCCACCACCCTGTCTGTGTTCCCACTAGATACCGCCCCAAACGCTACAGGACCCTCACTCTAGATGTGGTGATTCCCTACCCCCACTCCCTTCCCACCCTCCTGCCATCATCTCAGTTGGCTTCGCTGAGACGCAGGAAGGAAAGTCAGAGAGGAAGGAGGAAAGAAAGGAAGAAGGAAAGCTACAGGAGTCAAGGCAAAGTTAACCAGCTTCTCTCAGGGAAGCCCAGCAATTTCAATGGCCTGGCCATGCAGAGAACCAAGATTGGATGCATTAGGCGTGTGCACACACCCAAGGGCCTGTGCAGCCTCGCCCGATTTCTGTCTCCACTGCTGACCTCAGACAGAGAGCAGTGTGACCCTGCCTGGCCCCATGCAGAGCCAGGACTAGCTAGCTGCCTTGACAGCTCTCCTCCACCCCAGACTCATCACACCCACCCACCCACCCCCAAGCTCTCTAGGACTTGGGGGAGAAGATGCCTTGGGATGGGAGACCAAGATCAAAGATGCCAAGAAATCATTGTGTGTGTGCGCACGCGCCCCCCCAACACACACACACACACACACACACACACACACACACACTGGGGTGTACACAAGGGCAGTGCCCAGTTTTATTAAGATAATCAGTCACTGAGGGTTGGCTGGGGGTTTCAGCTCGGAGTGCTCCTTGGCCTGCCCTTTGCCTCTCAGAAGGATGCTGTTCAGAGGGTGAATGGAAGCAGAAAGCAGTCCACAGCAGAGACACTGGCAGTAGGTCCTGCTCTAAGCAGAACCAGGCTGGGACAACATAGAGTATTGCTTGAAACAAATGCCAGTGATCCCATTCTGTTTCTTACTCCAGCCTCCTTATTCCCTCTCAGTCGGCTTCTTTTCTGGAACTCTAGAGACTACACCCTTACAGCCAAGGACTGGACAGAGAGAGAGAGAGAGAGAGAGAGAGAGAGAGAGAGAGAGAGAGAGAGAGAGCGCCCTGAACTGGACTCCAGTAACAAAATAGCCTCTGTGGCTGCAAAATTGCAGGCCACCCCTGTACTATTTCTCCAGTGGACTTTTTGGTTGCAAATGTGGGGCAACTAGGGAGAACCCCACCCTCTATCTTCCAGGTCTGTTTTCAAGTGGACCCTGGCCAAGAGCAGCTATTTATTTGTGCAAACACCTTTACTCTTCGAAAAGTCCGCACGGAGGCCTTTGGGTTTGAACGGAGCAACCTCAACCTCAGGCGGAGAACAGAAGGCCAACCTGACCTCAGGATGAGAGCCTGCCTCTCTAGTTGAAGGAAGGGGAAATCCAGACAGACCTCTCCAATCCCTTTACATTCACAGAGATTTGAGGATAAAATTAATCCCCATAAATAATCAGCAGCCTCTTCCCGAGAGGGCAAATCTGGGCTTCTCCAAGCAACAACCCAGCCAGATACACTTCCTTCGCTGAGCTTAGATGGCGCACAGCACCAGCCACTACACAATGTTGTTTTGAGTATTTTTTCATAAAACCTGGCAGGAGAGATTCATTCTTGCAAGTGATAGAAGATGAAATGCAAAAGCATAGATGGCTCTCAATTGCAGTAAGGAGGGGGTTCAGCCAGGCCTAGGTAGGGTGGGAAGCTGAGGGTCCCAGGGAAAATAAAGGCCAGCTTGTAAATATCTACACCACCCCAATCTCCCCCAACAAGACTCACCTCCTGAAATCTCACCTCTTCTTTCCGCCCAGAAGCCACGAAATGCTCACTGAGGTAAGGCAGTTCACAAGGAGTTTTGAAAAGACATCCCCCCCAAAGACCCCCTTTTAAAGCGTAGACTTCTTCCAGGGTCTGTCAAGAGAAGCAAGTACCTCCCAGTCTGTCGCTGGTTTGCGGTCTCCGACAAATTAAATATTACTGTTTATTGCCAGGCATACCCCAATAAAATAAAGAGGCAACCGGGCGATAGCGACTATCCCACCAGCCGCTGCTCCTATAGGGCTTGGAGACGTCACAAGTCACGCAACCAGCCCGCGCCTTGTCACGCTTGACTGGGGGGCAGTGGCAGGAGGTTGAGTTCTCTCCATCTTCGTCTATCAAGGTCTGCTGTAAGACACAAGTCCAGGATGCCTGGACCCTGGGGAAAATAAAGAAATAAAGAAATAAACCCAGAGCTCCCCGAGGAAGTAAGGGGTGATGAACAGAAGACACAGACAGAATGAAGAGCGCTTCTCTTAGGGCAACAGAACTGAGGTGGGAGCCCACTTCAGCTCCCGTTTGTAGGCAAAACCAGTGTTTCCCAAGGTTCATTGCAAAAGGCAAACTTTCTTACTTACACAGCTTTATTTTTCTGATGAGGAGCCCGTTTTAGCCGGTTACATTTGGGGTGCCATATCTCATGCCCAGGTCCGTTCCTGCACTGAAATAATTACTAGGGGGCTGTCTTAGTGGATATCGTGTATCTCAGATGTCTGCCAAAGTTCCTTGTAGAGAAAAAGGCCATTCGGTATGCTGCTCCTTCACTAAGGTCCTGGGTCGCAATGGGTCCCAGGGTGGCCAGACGGGGGCGGGGTGCAAGTGTGTGTTGGGGCGGGGTGGGAGCAGGGGTGGAGAGGGGTGCACTGTGAGGAGAAAAAAAAAAAAAAAAATCAGCGCCGGGTCTTGCAGAGGGACGACGCACTCAATTTTGTTTTGGGGAAATCGGCAATTGTTTCTAGTTGGATCAATGGGTATAATTGCTAAGTGGTCTGGTG